TGAACTGGCCATGCCCATTACTGTCTACATTTTTTGTTCACACCATTCACTGGCTGAAATGCCTTCCCCTTCCTCTAGCCAAATTCTGCTTTTTCTTTGAGGCCCAAGTAGCACCTCTTCATGGAAGCTTCCGATAACTACCCCAACTCCCTTCTCTCTTTGCTCTCACATTTAGCTATTTACTCCTGCCTCATGAGGGCTGGTCCTGTCTCTACAGTGATATTGTGCATCTTGGGGTAGAATGGAGAGCACATGGCTTCAAGTCCGGGGGCCTGGGGTCAGAGCCTGACTCCAGTGCTAAAAAGCTACATGACTAGGCTGATTGTGTGTGACTTCCCTGAGCCTCAGTCTCTTTACCTGAAAAATGAGAAAAATGATAACAATGTCACCTGTTGTTCTAAGGATTCTGAGAGGGATTAGTAGGAGAGGGAACTGAGAAGCTGCAAGAATCTACAGAGCCATTCAACTGGCATTTAGGAAGATGTTGCCCATCAGAGTCAGACCTCAGCATCTTCCTGCTGGGCCCAAACTTTCCAAGATCATTTAGACAAGGTCATCTCTAGCCCAGCCTGGCCTCCTCCCAGAGGAGGAAAAGAATCATGCTGTTACAGCAGAATTGAAGATTTGGGCAAGGGAACTAATGATTACATCCTGCTTCAGGTCAGATATGGGCTAGGAAAGCCACTCCAAAGTCAAGAGAAGCAGTTTCTTGGGGAAAAAAAAGGCTGTACGGAGCCCAGAGTGGCCTGGATCCTGCCTCATTTCCTGGACCAGCTCTTTAGGTGGTTACTGGATGGCCAATAAAGCAGAGCTTATTAAAGGTCACGAGCTCGGCTTCATTGCTGCCATGGTATCCAAGCACAAGTCTGTCTGGGATTTCATTTGCTTGATGGACAAAGGAGAGCATGTTCCAATACATATCCTGAGTGGTGGGGGTGGGGAGGGAAGGGGAAGAGTGCTCTCTAGAGATTTCTCTTTGTCCTCTGATGTAAATAGAGGTTGCGTTTTCTCTAACCACACTCAGTGATCTGAATCTCTTGGACTCTGGATTTTTCCTTTACTTGCTGTGAAGCCTTGAAAAGTATGAATCAGCTAGATAATGGTGCTGTGTACACAAGGATCCCCTAACGATGTACAAGGGTTAAAGATGTGTTTAAGGTCTTCAGGCAATCCAACACGACCACAGGTTTCCAAAATTTCAAAGGAAATTGAAAACCATAGTTCCCAAACCAGATATTTTCTGGTGTCCAGATGTTCATGGCATGCAAACCAAATGTCTGGATTATGAGCTCACTTTTTTCATTTCTTTTTTTCAGCTTACATCCAGATGTTGGGTCCAACTGGTCAGAGGCCTGGGGCAGAGACAGAAATCAAATCTAGGATGTTCATCTAGGGTCTCCAGCTCCTCCATTTCTGCTTCTTCCTCACACTGCTCCCCACATCCTCCCCGACTCACCTTCATGCTGCGTCGCAGCAAATACAGCTCACATCCAGACATGGCGCTGCCCTTGACAGCTGGGTCCACAAAGGCAGGTCGGGTATATCTTTAAAGAAAAGTTATTTTAACCATTCGGAAGCCTTCCTACATCAGAGTAGAGCACCTCCCCAGCAGACCTCTGCGGAGAGCAAGGGCAGGCTAGGAAGGATGGAAGGAAGTTTCAGGACTGCAGGAAATAAGGGCTTGGAGGTCAAAGGAGAAATCAGAGAAGACATGAATTCAATCAGCATCCTAGTGGTCTGGAGTGGAGATGATCTCAGGAGTCATAACCTGGGCAAGGTCACAGAGAGTAAGAGAAGAACTAAAGCCTCTAAAGGCGAGGCTGAGAAGCATATGGCCATAGAAGGAGACTCGTGTCTGTTATTCCTAAAAGTTCAAGGAGGTATAAACTGTGTAAGATTTAAATGGAGGAGCACACAATCTTACTTGCTTTCAGAGGCTTTTGAGGTCCCCATTCTCCCATTAGCAGCCAGGCAACACTCTCTGCCCTCTCCAAAGGGAGGAGTGGAAAGGCTTCAAAATCCCTAGAAAATAAATGTCCCCTCCATCCAAAATCCAGTGTGTAGCTTGAGGACAGGACTTTAACTGAGAGAAATATGTAGAAGAAGGGAATAGAAGCCAGGCACCCAGGTGGTGGGTGACAGAAGAGAACTTCCTAGCTGGTTTTAGTTAGGGAGGGCACCCTGGGCAAAAGTCGGAATGCGACTTTTTTTTAACCCCTTTAATAAAATGCTGTTAAATTCCTCTTTTGCAGATGTTCTGCCAACGGAATGGAAATTGTCCAGAGTGGGGAACAGGGAGCCTCATCTTGACTGGACTTGGACATCCATCCTTAAGGCCAAAGTTCTCCCACCACCAACTTTAACTCCTGCCGTCTCCCTCCCACTCCCTTTTCAAAACGCTTTCCACCCAGGAAAGGAGATTTTGAAGCCAAGTCTGTACCAGCCACACCTCCCCAGAACTGTTAAGGAAGGAACCTGAAGCCAGGGGCAGTCCTCTGGCAATCACCCCCACTACCAAGAGCAGGACAGACGTGTTTCTGCTGGACACTATCCCCTGAGGTTGCATGATTCAGGCTACCAAGGATACCTGCCCTTGGGAATTCAACTCCTGAAGGTAAGTTGGGATTGGGCCCTGAGAAGATCCATGGAAGCCCAGAGGACCCTGCCTGGCTCTGTCGCTTCATGCTGTTGAGGTGGTCCTGGGGAGGACTTGCTCACATCCGGGTGGGGAGCAGCTGAGACCATACGTTTGATGACACTCTGCTCCCTCAATGTGCAGCCTCACCCTCATCTCACAGTCCAGCAGGCCTCTGGTAGGATGGGCTTGTCTCACCCAGTGTGTGAGATTTTTTGGAAGTGGCCTGATTTTGGAGTTTCCCTCCAAGCCTTTCCTAGACACTTGCTTTCTCTTTCATTCTCTCTTTTTTCTGTCTTCTTAAGTCTGATTTTCTCCTTTTTTCCCTCTCTTGTCTCCATCTCTTTTCCTGTCTCTCATTTCTTATTTCTCCCCACATTTCACTCTGTTCTCTTACCCTTCCCTTTCCATTCTGTTTCTCTCCCTCCCTCCCTCCCCACCCGCTGCCTGGCCTTCCATATATCAAGCAGAGTTTTATCACCTTACACAGGGGCAGCCCTGCCACCTGCCATCGGGTTGATAGGCTAGTGACAGTTTGTGGATATTGCCATGTCACAAGTGCAGGGACCGCGTCAAAAATAGCCGTGATGTCTAAACCACTTCAGCTACCTTTTTTATTTTTAAAAGGAATACATTCACATGGTTTTAAGAAACTGTAAAAATGTATAAAGTAAAAAACTCTTTCTCTCACACTGTCTCCACCTCTCCCGGCCTCACCATTGTGCTTAGGGGAAACCATTGTGATAGTTTCTTCTATGTCCTCCCAGAGTGTCTTTATGCAAATGAAAATTACTGTGATAATATATTTCTATTTCGCCCTTACCACACAAAAGATAGACTACCATAATCCTATTCTGCACTTTTTTTTCACTTGATAATAAAAACCTGATTTTATTAATGGATATCTACAGAGCGATTACCATGTGCCATGTGCCTCCTGGGCACTGTGGAACATACATGGGTGAACAAGACACAGGCACAATCTCCACATTCAAGGATCTGAAGACAGTCTAGTGACAAAGCCCAACGGGCTCATCTACATTCAGCCATGCTGTAGAGGGCTAAATGCCTTTAAATAAATAAAGGCGGCCACACATAGTGGCTCATGCCAGTAATCTCAGCACTTTGGGAGGCTAAGACAGGAGGACCACTCATGTCCAGGAGTTTAGACCAGCCTGGGCAACATAGTGAGACCCTGTCTCTACAAAAAATAAAAAATCAGCTGGGCATGGTGAGGTGGTGCGTGCCTATAGTTCCAGCTATGTGGAAGGCTGAAGTAGGAGGTTTGCTTGAGCCCGGGATGTTGAGGCTGCAGTGAATCATCGTTTGTGTCACTGCATTCCAGCCTGGGGTGACAGAGCAAGACCCTGTCTCAAAAAAATAATAAATAAAATTAGTTGGCTGCGCACCGTGGTTCATGCCTGTAATCCCAACACTTTGGGAAGCTGAGCCAGGCAGATCACGAGGTCAGGAGTTCAAGACCAGCTTGGCCAAGAAACCCCATCTCTACTAAAAATACAAAAAATTAGTTGAGCATGGTGGCCTGGGCCTGTAATCCCAGCTACTCAGGAGGCTGAGGTGGAGAACTTCTTAAACCTGGGAGGCGGAGGTTACAATGAGCTAAGATTGCACCACTGCACTTCAGTCTGGGCAACAGAGTGAGACTCCATCTCAAAATAATAATAATAAATAAAATAAGTAAAATCAAAGAACAATGAGAGCACAGAAGAGGGAGGAGATTAAATCCAATCCCGAGGACTCATGGTGGGGGGGTGGTGTCTGAGCTGAACTTTGCAGAATGGATGGGATTCTGCATACACAGAGCTGGGGAAGGGAGGGTTTTATGTGGTCAGAGATCTCAAGGTGAGAAAGTTCTGGCACATGCAAGGAAGCGAAAGGCAGAAGCCTAGGGGTTTGGGAGAGGGTACAGCTGGAGGGGCCGTGTGCAGTGGTGAAACATAGAGAACTGGGGTCCACCACCTGGATTTAAGTCCTGGTTCTACCTCCTACTAGCTAGTCAGTTCTTCATCTGTGAAACGGGATAAAAATTATCTCCCGCGTTATTAGAAGGATTCAGTGAGGCAGCATCAATGAAGACATCACAAGAAAGGACTGCACAGTGTGAGGTGCTAAGCCTGGAAAAACGAATAGGAATTGATCTTATATGGCCTCAGGGGCCATGATGCAGAGCTCAGGCTTTATTCTGAAGGCTTTGGAGAAGGGAACAGTGAAGTGTTTGGGTTAAAGAAATGACAGATAGGACCAAGGAGAGAAGGTGTGGAGTGATATGACAGGCATTTCATGAAATGCTATAAGGTAGCATTAAAATCTTATCTCTTGGTTACCAATGAAAGATAACTACATGTCAGATAAACTTTTACTTTATTATAAAAATGATTTATAGTTTCACTTAGGAATGTAGTTTCTGTTGGTAGTAACTCTGTAACTGTATGGCGGTATTCGTGGCATATATTGATTTATTCACTCCTCATTTATTTAGTCATTCAACCCACATTTGTCCAGCACCTACGAACAGTCAGGCACTTGTGCCATACCTTCTATCCTGAAGTCAGTTTACCAGACAACATACCATGAGGGCTGACTGAAGAGGGTCTGCTGAGTTCCACAGCCTCTCAGTCGTACCCCGGTGCCTCTTTGGAACATCATGGCAGAGAAAACAAGATCACACATTTCTCTGACTTCTAGCTCCCTGCAGTTAGAAGAAGTCGACCATAACAGGGCTGAGGACAACAGAAGACTGAGATCCAGAGGATGAAGTCATGATGTCTACAGTGTGGCTTAAGGCTGGCCAAGGCTGGGTGCATCAGTACACACCTGCAGTCCCAGCTACTCAGGAGGCTGAGGCAGGAAGATCGCTTGCATGCAGGAGTTCAAATCTAGCCTGGGCAACATAGGAAGACCATCATCTCTTAAAAAAAAAAAAGGAAGAAAAAGAAAAAGATTAGCCAGACCAGGAGAAGACCAGGGCAGAACAATTTATTTCAGGTAATTGGGAATTGATGATGTATCATTACTGAGCTCTGCTCTCCCTTTGGGGGTTCAAGACGAATGGAGGAAATGCTTCATTCCCACCTGCCTCTCTGACCAGATTCTCCTGCAGTGCAGCACTTTCCTGCTTTTAGGAAGTTGAGGATATAGGTTGAGGTATGGTAGAAACTACAGCGTGAGCCTCTTCTGCCTCTTTAACTAGCCGAGGTGGCAGAGATGTCATGCTCAGCTCAGCCACTAGAAAAACCCTTGCCGCTTTTTGTCCAGAACTGCCATCTTCCAGTAATTCACCAAAATGACGAACACAGAGGGAAAGAGGAGAGGCACTCGATGTATATTCTCTAGGCCTTGTAGAAAACATGGAGTTGTTCCTTTGGCCACATATATGTGAATCTATAAGGAAGGCAATACTTTAGACATCAACAGAATGGGTACTGTTCAAAACGGAATGCCCCACAAGTGTTATCAGGGCAAACTGGAAGAGTCTACGTTGTTCTCCAGCATGCTGTTGGCATTGCTATTAACAAACAAGGGCAAGATTCTTGCCAAGATCATTAATGTGCATGTTAAGCACATTAAGCACTCTAAGAGCCGAGACAGCTTGCTGAAACGTGTGAAGGAAAATGATCAGAAAAAGAAAGACACGAAAGAGAAAGGTACCTGGGTTCAACTGAAGCACCAGCCTGCTCCAGAGAAGCGCACTGTGTGAGAACCAATGAGAAGGGACCTGAGCTGCTGGAACCTACTCCCTACGAATTCATGGCATAATAGGTATTTAAAAAAAAAAATAAAAGACCAATGGACTATTAATTTTTTTTTTAAAGACAGGGTTTCACCATGTTGGTCAGGCTGGTCTTGAACTCCCGACCTCAGGTGATCTGCCTGCCTTGGCCTCCAAAGTGCTTGGATTACAGGCATGAGCCACCATGCCCGGCCCACTGGACTATTAAAAAGAAAGAAAGAAAGAAAAAGAAAGAAAGAAAGAAAGAGAGAGA